GGCTTGAAGAATTGAGGCTCAGAAAATCGGTGCCCATGGTTAACTCAATCATTCCGGATGACCGAATGACGAACGGGTTAATTCCATGGAAGGTAAATCAATTCTCAGTTTAGAGAGTTTTTGACCCTACAATTATGTAAGAATAAAGGGATAAAAAATGGCTTGAAGAATTGAGGCTCAGAAAATCGGTGCCCATGGTTAACTCGATCATTCCGGATGACCGAATGACGAACGGGTTAACTCCATGGAAGGAAGGTCATTCTCAGCCAAACGACTGGGAATTTGACGCTCAGATAGTCTCACCTCAGCGGTTAATATGAGAATCGATTCTGGAAAACCGAATGACGAACATATTAGCAGTTTGGAGGGAGCCATACATTTCAGCAAGAGTTTTGACCCTGTAATTACGCATTGATGAAGGGATCAAAATGGCCTGGAGTTCGAAGGACAGTGATTCTCACCTCAGCTTGTTAACACGTAGAATCATTCTGGATGACCGAATGACGAACGGGTTAACAGCTTGGAGGGAGCTGAGTCGTCAACTTAGCCAAAGTCGACCCTGTAATTACGTACGGGCAAAGGGATCAAAACGGCTTGGAGATGGTGTCAAGACTATAAGATATGGATTTACCGAGCGACGTTCGGATAATGTACGGATTGTCGTCCGGGGAATCGGAACTATGGTTTTGAAAAATCTCGCCTCAGTCATAAAACGTGACTTGGAAGCTAGTCGCCCTTTTAGCTATAAGTAAGAAATGACCCAACTTCGGTGATCTTGCTTACAGTTCAAAAAAGGGTTACCTCAGACCCCTAATATGGATGATACGAGCGAGAGAAAACAGTTCGGAATGCATCGGAATTATGGGTTTGGAAGGAGAGAGTCTCACCTCAGCTTGTTAACGCAGGAAATCATTCTGGATGACCGAATGACGAACGGGTTAACAGTTTTGAGGGAGCCCCTATCTCAGCCGAGAGTTTGACCCTGTGATCACGATCAGAACGGCTTAGAGGAATTCACCTCAGCTAAAGAGTTTTGAACCCGTGCGTCACGAACAGGAAAAGGGATCAAAACGGGTTCGGGAAGGTGTCAGAACAATTATAAAGAGAGTCTCACCTCAGCTTGTTAACGCAGGAAATCATTCTGGATGACCGAATGACGAACGGGTTAACAGTTTTGAGGGAGCCCCTATCTCAGCCGAGAGTTTGACCCTGTGATCACGATCAGAACGGCTTAGAGGAATTCACCTCAGCTAAAGAGTTCTGAACCCGTGCGTCACGAACAGGAAAAGGGATCAAAACGGGTTCGGGAAGGTGTCAGAACAATTATAAAGAGAGTCTCACCTCAGCTTGTTAAAGCATGAAATCATTCTGGATGACCGAATGACGAACGGGTTAACAGTTTTGAGGGAGCCCCTATCTCAGCCGAGAGTTTGACCCTGTGATCACGATCAGAACGGCTTAGAGGAATTCACCTCAGCTAAAGAGTTTTGAACCCGTGCGTCACGAACAGGAAAAGGGATCAAAACGGGTTCAGGAAGGTGTCAGAACAATTATAAAGAGAGTCTCACCTCAGCTTGTTAACGCATGAAATCATTCTGGATGACCGAATGACGAGCGGGTTAACAGTTTGGAGGGAGCCCCTATCCCAGCCGAGAGTTTGACCCTGTGGTCACGATCAAAACGGCTTGGGGGAATTCACCTCAGCTGAGAGTTTTGAACCCGTGCATCACGAACAGGAAAAGGGATCAAAACGGGTCCGGAAAAGGTCAGATATAAAAATACATAAGCCGAGTGAGGTTCGGCCATGTAGAAAAGATTGTGGACAAAAAATCAAATGGCCAGAAAAAGTGCAACAGACAAAGGAAGAAAGTCCAGTTTATTCTTCGGCATTACTAGCCGGAATATACAAAACAGATATACAAGAAAGAAGACGACAGATAAGGAAAGGCTACATTAATGGATGATCGCCGTTCGGGGAGGATATAGGCTGAGAGCTCCCTGCCTGCACTGCATCGTCAGGCGCTGCTTTGGATCTTTTCTCCATAACGCGATCATACGTATTCCCGAACAGATCATCGAAGCCTAGTTCATCAGGATCGAACGGCTTGGGGAAACGCTCTAAGATCAGTTCAAGATTCCTATCCAGAAGCAGGTCCTGACTTTGCTTAACAGTTTTCTCGGTCAGGACATCCAAGAAAGATTTCCCTTCCGGCGTGCTATCCAGGAGGTCGATCCCTGCCTTGATGGGATCTGAGCTCTCACGCAAAAATTGGCCAAGGTGAGGACCTAGGAATTGCCGGGCCGTATTCTCCAGAGCAAGGTTCAGCGCCTTGCCCCGTTGGAAATCCACTACCGATTGCTGAGCAATCTGAGAGGTATTGACCGTGTAGGGTTCGGGCAGATGATCTCCGACAGCCTTATCAAATTTAATGCCAGCAGATTCAGCAGCCCGCACCTTGGCCCGGAGTTCTTTGAGCTCTCGGTCGCAACGACGGGACATCTCCTGCATCTCGGCCAGAGCAGCTTTTGCCTTCTCACCCTCTTTGGCCTGCTCTTCGAGGTCGGTCGCTAACTTCCGAGCGGCGGAGAGGAGGACCTGGCTGTCATCCCGATCACTGGCCAGGGCTTTCATCTCCTTCTCCGCGGCAAGAAAGGCTTTGTGATAATACACGCCAGCCTGAAAACAAGGTTACAATGAAGGTCAGAAAAGGTAGAACATAAATAACAGAAAGGTATGGGACGGACTGAAATATACCTTAAGTGCTTCCTGGTGACCTGCTTCAAAAAGGTCCGACCAGTGAGTCAAGTTAGTGAAGCTCGGGGGAACTTTGATCGCGGTATGACACCACATAGAAGATGGCATCAACCCGAACAGATACCTCCCTTCCGATCTGGGCCCCATATTTGAGAACTCAACAAACATCCGATCATCGATCGGTGTGGCAGTAAGAACCGGAGTTGGTCTGTTGGCAGGTACTGAACCTTTGGGCTCAACCACCGGCCCGGTCAAGTCAACCACATGGTCGATCGGGATCAAATGATCGCCATCATTTCCCTTGCGCTTTTTTCGGGTTTGCCCCGCCGAATCACGATCGGCTATCATCTTCTCTTTCCCTTTAGCAGAGGAGATGGAACGCCGGACGGGTATGGGAGAGATCACACCTACAAGAAAGAGAAATAAAAAATAAGAAAGTTGAATTGCGAGAGCGAAGGATGATCGGGTTAAAACCCTACTATGCTTACCAATTCCAGCAGATAACATGCTCGAGGCAGTAACAAAGCTGCGAAGACTTCTGGTCCCTCCCATTCACAGAGACTCAGCCTGGGAGCGTAGAACGGCATCCACCCTGGGCAGGGAATCCCGGACAGGATATGCGTTCCACCGGTTCGGGAATGGCAAAGAATCACCTACCCGAACGAACAAAAACCGCTCTTCCCAATCAGCCTGCGGGGTAACGTTCTCTGTGAACAGCTGACGGTCAGAACGGGCTACCAGCTTCAAGTACCCGGTCGTCTAGTACGGCTGATAGCAGTAATGATAAAGAAATAGATCGACGCTCGGGGTGATCCTCAACTCGTGGCACCGGATAATGAAGCCTGTCAGAATCCGGTAGGTGCTGGGCACGAACTGAGCGGGCAGTACAGCAACCCGGCGTAAGAACTCCACTATGAATGAGTGGAGAGGGAACCGAAGTCCAGCAGTCAGGGCATCGAGATGCACTAGCACGTGCCCCGGTCTGTGCCTCATAGGATGCCGAATGAATCCGGCATAGTATTCTCTTGGTGGGGGCAACAACTGGCTAAGTTGCCGTTCAACGACTTCTGGGAGACGTTGTTTGTGTTTGCGTATGCGATTGAAGTGTAGGGCAATGCGGGGTGGCCGTTCGGGCATCCCCTTGTTATAAACTTGAAGGTCATCTCCCGACAGGCATCCGTCCTCCTGCGACTGTTCGATAGGTTTGCTGACCTGAGTATTGGCAGGTTTGGGTGTTTGGGACGAAGAGCCTTCGGCCTGATTACCGGCGGATGTTTTGCTCTTACGAATCAAAGGCATCTCTTCAGATTCTGAGCTAGAGGAGTAGTACATAAAAACGCTGGAGGAAATTTGGGAACTCTAGAGAGAGAAGGCTTGAGAGTATGCAAAGGAATTCTAGGGAGAGAAAGCTCGAAAGAAAAGTAAGAAAACAGCAGGAGAAATTAGGGGAAGCACCTCCCTATAAATAGGGAAAGTACCGCACAAATCCCTAATCCAGGAGCAACACGTGGCATTGGGTGGTTACGATTAATTTGGGGCATTTATGATTCATTCTTTATGCACGTACCCCGGACGGGCTTACAGGGGTTAGCAAAGATCACAGGGGCTTGCTGTTTAGAAAATGCTAAAAGTCGGGAAGAAAATGCTAAGTCCTAAATATCAGCCTGAAGCCCGACCGGCCAACAGTATTGTAAAAGGTTATCTGGAAGAAAACTGCTAAGTCCTAAAAGTTGACCTGAAGCCCGACCGGTTATCAACGTCATAAAAAGATAGCCTAGGAGTGAACTGAAGCCCGACCGGCTACCAAGTTGTAAGAGATTATCCAAAGCAAGAATGTGCCAAGTCCTAAAATTCGGTATGAAGCCCGAACGGCTGGGTACCAGGGGGAAGGGGGGTTTTTCCTTAAGTAAATTATCAGAACTTTCTAATGCCCGAACGGCGATCAATGGCGTTAGGATTATTTGAGCAAGAAATAAGTTAGAAAATTGGTTAAGTTTTACGAAATAGACCGAATCCCGAATGGCGATTAAATCATGCATTAAAGACAGAAAAGATAGTACACAAAATTTCATGCAAAAAAGAGATATATATTCATCGGCTCTACTGACCGGGAAATACAGTTAAGGTTTTTTGTAAGGGAAGAACAAAAAGGGGTTACAGTTACTAAAATACTACTCTATTGCCCTGCCCCATTGTCTTCTTCATCACCCTCCTCATCCGAATCAGTAGGGGGATCAGGCTCCTTTCCCGCTTCCCGATCAGCAGCCCGTTGTAAGTCCCTTTGATACTTCTCATATTGAGCTTCAACTATGGGTGCCTGGGGAAGATCAGCAAGCTCGACCGGCCTCCCTAGCATTTCTTGAAATTTGGCGATAAAGGGAGCCATGATGTGCTGACAGCCCATGACGTATAGGGATCGGGCCAGGGAATCATTAAACTTTTTCCCCCTGGGGTCCTGGTCGAGCAATTTGACCCCCTCGCTCCGACGGGCGTCACCCGTGGAGAAATGGTCCAGATAATCACCAAAGGTAACTGGGAGTTGCTGCTGTGCGTAATCTTTTTTCAAGATGGCAAACTCCTCAGACCCTTTGAATGACTCCCGAACGGCGGACAGGTCAACCTGTATTTCAGCAGGGCCGTCCGGGATACGAGGGGCGTGCTCTTCAAATTTAACCGAGGCAGCTTCGGCAGCATGGACCTTGGACTGAGAGACCCCGAGCTGAACTCGAAGCTCGCCAAGCTCCGATTCAAGACGTTTCTTCTCCTCAGCATAGGCCTTCCGCTCAGCCTCCAGGGCAGCAAAAGCAGCTGCTGCATTCTGCTCCGCGGAACTCTGAGCAACGATCAGCTCCCGCTCCTTGGCCAACCGAGCTTCCTTCAGCTGCAGGCTATAAAGCCCAACCTGCGGAATGACATTCAGGGAATGAAATGGGGAAGAGAAATTGTAGATTAAGAAAGATTTAAACTATGGAATGGCAAGATACCTTCAGAGCTGCCAAGGCAAGGCATTCCTCGGACTGCTCGATCGATAATTTAGGGATGGTGAAATTGTTGAAGAAGGCGGAGGTAGACCAGATCTGACTTGCCGAACAGCCACCTCTTTCCACAACATCATGAACCGGATCCGCCAGGGAAATCCGGTTAACCTGGCCAGATAACTGAACGGTGGGAGTTTCACCCGAACCCTGGCCGGCTTCTGGAGCAGCTTGAAAATGCTCGGAAAATTGCTGCAGTTGATCAGAGCCAAACCGATCATCGACCAGCATGACATCGAATTGATCCTGATGGACCTGCTGTATCGGCTGTGGCTCTGGAAGCGGTTGAGAAGACCCAGCATCCTGGGCAGGAACAGTAGAGGGAGTAGGTTGGGGGTTCTTCCTGGCCTTTTTTCGCTTACCGACCCCACCAGCTGCCATATCTCTGCTGTTGTCCATAGGTAGATCTGGGTTTTGTAACAGGCCCATCACTCTATGATGAAAAGATCCAGTAAAGAGACATACCGAACGGGGTTCGGCCCAAATAAAGGTTGGCCCAATAAGAAGACATACCGAACGAGGTTCGGGCTATATATCATACTTGGGCCAATTTGACAGCATCTTCAGTATGGACCAACATCCCGTTCGAGCAACGGCCAACCAGCAAGTGGCCAGGTGCAGTTAATGCCAGACTATGACATCAGCAAGTGGGAGCATGGATGACCAAGTCGGTGGAACAACGGCCAATCAGCTAGAGGCAGCCCATGCTCTCTATTAGTATAAATAGAAGGTTTCAAGTCATTGTAAGGGTTAGCATTTCAATACTCAAGCTCTAGAATAGCATCATTTGCCCTCATTTCTTGTATTAAGGCATAATTTCCGACTTATCGATCGGGAAATCCCTTGTAATCAGATTGGTTAATTAATACAAGTGAGCTTTCGAGTTTTAGTTAGTTCAGATCTTATCTTTTCTTTCACGCTTTGATTCTGGGCCATTCCTGATATATCCAAAGTTCGTGTTGGGCTTTCGGATCTACGGGACTTACCCTCAACAAACTTGTTTACAGTTAATATGCTTAAGTTAGTATGCTTAACAGTTAATATGCTTAAGTTAGTATGCTTAACAGTTAATATGCTTAATATGTTTACATGTACAACATGTTTACATGTTTACAGTTAGTATGTTTCAGACTTAAGTTAATTAATATGCTTAACAGATAAATTTTTTTATATACTGCAGTCTGAAATAGAAGGTGGAACTCCAGCCACGGCTTCTGAAGCTGCTAAGTCAACAAGAAATGACCCATCCAATATAAATATTTATCTATCTTTCGGTGATCATAGCAAATTAGTTATTTTGTTTGATTTGTGATTCTCACTAAAAAATATAGAAGACCAAACTAAATATCTATATATATATATTATTTTTTGTTATAGGATGACATTAACATAATTTATTGATATTATTTTTTTCATCTAGGGCCTCAAAGTTCTAAAGGCGGACCTGTTTTTATCATTTTCTTGTGAGTACTTGCTCTATCCCTGCTACAATTTGATTCTTTATTGGTCCAACAAAGTTGTAAATGAAAATGAAATCTACTATCCTTTCAAGGCATTATTAGTTTATCAGTGAGTTCAAAACAAAGTTCTTATACAAATCTTTTTAGTTTGTTATCTAAACTAGGAGAGTACTCAATAAGTTAACTAAATAGACTAAAACAAAGTTACTAAACATATTTTTTCAGTTTTGTTAACTAAAGTTCTTTGGTTAATATTAAAATGTGTAGAAAATATGAAAGTAATAACATTAAACTGAACAAAGTTCTTTGGTTAAAGTATTCCCCCCGATTTCTTCCAAGTGTTTGCATATGATATTTAAGCATGTATGATAAATATTTTGTTGGGATCTAATAATTATCAGGAATTGAGAGATGGATAGGTCTTGGATAAAGGATGGAAACAGGTTGTCTGAAGAATACAGAAATGGAGTTGATGAGTTCTTACAATTTTCTATGCTCAACTCAGAAAATCGTAGATCAATTAGGTGTCCGTGTAGAAATTGTTGTAACATGGAATTTCATAAGCCTGAACAAATAAAAGTACATTTGTTAAAAGTTGGTTTCTTGGAAATGTACCTTGTTTGGACTAGGCATGGAGAGACTGCAAAAACTCCAACCTTTAATCCCTCTCAATCAAATTTTCATGATCAAAATGAAATTGGTGACATGTTAGGCGATGTTTATGAAGAACTAGATGGTAACCCAAAGAGGTTTAAGGATGTAGTTGAAGATGCTGAGAAACCATTATACTCAGGTTCAAGTTATACAAGGCTTTCAGGATTATTGTTGTTGTATAATGTAAAAGGAAAATATGGATGGTCTGATCAAGGGTTCTCAGCTTTATTAGAAGCTCTATCGAGTCTACTACCCACCGATAACACCATTCCCAAGTCAATGTATGAAGCTAAAAAAATAATGAAGGTGTTAGGTTTGGATTACCAAAAGATACATGCTTGTCGCAATGATTGCATCCTCTTTCATAAGCAACACAGTGATCTTGAAAAATGCCCTACGTGCGGAGAGTCTAGGTGGAAAGAGACAAAGAATGGATCCATAACAGCTACTAGTAGAATTCCTGAGAAAGTATTGTGGTACTTTCCTCCAATTCCTAGGTTCAAACGTATGTTCCAGTCTACTAAAATCGCTGAAGACATGACATGGCATGCAGACCATCGCATTAAAGATGGTAAATTGCGTCATCCTGCTGATGCTCAAGCTTGGCATCACATCGATAAAATGTGGCCTGATTTTAGTCAAGATCCTAGGAATCTGAGGTTAGCTCTTTCAAGTGATGGAGTAAATCCACACAGTTCACTTAGTTCTTCGTATAGTTGTTGGCCTGTTCAGTTAGTCATCTATAATCTCCCCCCTTGGTTGACCATGAAAAGAAAATTCATGATGTTATCTCTTTTAATTTCTGGTCCTAAACTTCCTGGGAATGATATAGATGTCTATTTAGAACCCCTGATTGATGACCTTAAAACCTTGTGGAATGATGGTGTAGATGTTTTCGATAGTTTTAGAAAGGAGACCTTCAGGTTAAGAGCTATATTGATGTGGACCATAAGTGACTTCCCAGCTTATGGTAATCTGTCTGGTAGCACCGTGAAGGGGTATTTTGGATGTCCTGTTTGTGGGTCGGGCACTCGTTCAATATGGCTGAAATGTAGTAAGAAATGTGTCTATATGAGCCATCGTCGCTTTTTACCGAAAAACCACAGGTTTAGAGATTTAAAGAAAGTCTTCAATAATCAAGTTGAGAGAGAGGGACCTCCAGCAATCCTCTCCGGTGAAGATGTTCTTAAGTTGGTTGAAGGAATAAATTACAAAAGCGGGAAGCGCAAGGACCGCAAAAGAAAGGGAAAGCGTGATCACAACGATGGAGACAATAGATTGTTCAAGCGCAAATCAATTTTTTTTGATCTAGAGTATTGGAAGCATTTATTGGTTCGTCATCTATTAGATGTGATGCACATAGAGAAGAATGTGTGTGAGAGCATCTATGGAACGCTTCTTGATCAACCGAGCAAAACAAAAGATGGACCTAGAGCTCGAGATGACCTTGCTCATTTGAACATTAGGAAAAACTTAATTCCTAAAGAGAATTCCAAATCATTGCCTCCAGCACCCTACACCCTGAGCAAAAAAGACAAACAAAAATTTTGTGAAACCATACTGCAAATAAAAGTGCCTGATGGTTATTCATCAAACCTGAAAAGCATAGTTTCTGATGATGACAGTCACCTTCAAGGTCTTAAATCTCATGATTGTCATACCTTGATGCAACAAATACTTCCCTTGGCCATTCGGAACATGTCAGTGGCAGAAAATGTTACCAATGCGATAACTAGTATGTGCTTATTCTTCAACAGACTATGTGAGAAGGTCCTAGATCCTGATTCACTTGATGATTTAGAGTCCAGTCACCACATCACCATGTGCTGTCTTGAGCAATATTTTTTGCCATCATTTTTTGATATAATGGTTCATTTGACAGTCCATCTTGTTGCTCAAGTGCATCTTTGTGGCCCAGTTTTTCTCTGTTGGATGTACCCTTTTGAGAGAAGCATGAAATTCTTAAAAGGGTTCGTCCGCAATCATTACCATCCTGAGGGATGCATTGCCGAATGTTATGTGGTAGAGGAAGCTCTTGAATTTTGTGCCGAGTATATTTCCAACCATGAATCAATTGGGTTGCCTACACATTCTGATAATGATGACCCAATTGAAAGGCCTCTAGGACGTGGGGACACTAAAATAGTTGATTGCTCATTGCTTGAGCAAGCACATCGTACTGTTCTATTTAATACGCCCGAAGTTCAGCCGTACATAAAGTAAGCACTCCATTGTTTATTTCGGTTTTGTCTATTTTGTGTATATTATATAATCTAACTCTTTTTTTAAAAAAAAAATAGGGAGCATATGTTCGAGCTGCAATCATTTTATGATGATGGTTGTATTGAAATAGAGCATTATCGAACATTTGTTAAGTGGTTTGAAGAGAAGGTTACTCGTTATTAACTTATGGTTACTGATCATATTTAAAATGTTACATAAGTATACTGAATATTTAGCATATAATTTGTAGGTTCTTAATGATGTTGCAAATGGAATTGATGTGGACAAAACTGTCAGATGGCTAGCTAAAAAACCAAACACAACAGTGACAACTTACTCTGGGTACAGTATAAATGGATTTAGTTTTGCTACAAAGGAGCGGGATTTAAGCCGTGTTACACAAAATAGTGGGGTTAGTCTTGTAGCGGACTTGAATTACTACGGCGTTCTAACTGAAATTTGGGTCCTTCACTATCTGATGACTAAGAGGGTGGTTTTCAAGTGTGACTGGGTAGATAATAGGCATGTAGAAGAAGATAAGTTGGGCTTCACAATACTTGATCTAAATAAGATAGGTCATAAAAAAGATTGTTTCATTTTAGCCGCGCATGCCAAACAAGTTTTTTATGTGAAAGATCAACTTCATCCAAGAAAATCAGTGGTTTGTTCAGTTGGTCAGAAGGTTAGTCACGTTGCAGACGCTGGATGTGATGAAATGGTTATACATGATCCCCTAACTTCACATTACCCAACACAAATTCTTGATTTGGAAACCCCAGATGATGATGGAATTTATGATAGAGTACTTTGTGATGTGAATTAATAATCCAATTAGTCAAAATTGGAATGAATTCATTGCTACGTTTCAGTAAGTATTACTTTTACATAACTTTCTGGTTTATTTTACTTCAATTGTGTATTATTTGTGATTTGTAATTCAATTCAAAGGAAAATAAGTTTATTTGTATGTATAATCTTGTTATTATGTAGGATACAGTTTGATATGAAGAATCAAAATGAAGACATGGACAATGTTGATAGGGATGAACTGGATGGGAGGCCACGTAGGCGAGAAAAGACAAAGAAGAAGATGATGTTGAAGAAAAGTGGTGATCATAAAGTGATTGTGGAAGTTAATGAGCTTGGTGTTTTAGCAGGTAAGGTCTGGACGGAACTGTCTAATTACCTTGGGGTTATAGTCAGGGACCATGTGCCCATAGTGTACCATGACTGGAGAAGAGTCCCGCTTAAGTTGAAAAATGATATGTTGACGCATATTCAGGTAAGAAACTATATGCATGTGAGCTGCTATTAACTTTGTCAATTACTTTTTTAGTCTTTAAGTGTTGAGTTCTTTCAGTTTATTTGTAGTCTTTAAGTTTTTTATTATTCATTCAATAATATAATGTTCTTTTGGATGTAGGATCTGTTTGTGTTGCCTACTAATTCAGAGAAACATATACTCCAAACAATGGGAGCTGCACATAAAAATTTTAGATGCACTTTGTACACTGAATTCATTGCACAACACATGGATGAGCCCGAGAAGTTAAGCTTACCTCCAAAAGAATATAAGCACATTGGTACTGATGAATGGAGAATATTTGTGAAGAGGTGCTTTACAGAAGAATTCCAGGTGATAGAACTTACTAATGCATTTAATATAAGTAGAAACATTTGTGAATATATGTAATAATTTTGTTAAATGCTTTTAGGAAAAAAGCAAAAAAGCATGTGAAAATCGAAAGAAGAATATATATAATCACCGATTAGGTTCAACAGGTTATGGAGGGTTACTTTTAAAGAAGGTTTGTTCTAATCTTCATTTATTAAAATTATTCGATTGTGTATATGAGTATTTAGATGATATACCTTTTTTGTTTTCAAAACTCAAAGAAAGAACAACTTGGAAGTACTGTCAACGACATTGATCGAGCGGATACATGGCTCTTGGGAAGAGAAAGAAAAGATGGTGGATATGATCCCGAGGTTTTGGAAGTTGCAGAAGAAATAGTAAGGGTTGTAATAATTTTATGAATATGAACATGCATCTTTTAGTAAAAAATTTCCCAGTGTACTGAGGTCAATTAATTGACTCGTTTTATGCTCTTTTTAGAATAAAAAAATGTTGTTTGACACAACTTGGTAATGCTCTAGTAATGCTCTGATGTAACATGTTTGTTTGTGTAGAAGGAGCTCAAAAATAAGGTGAAGGAAGGGTCATTTGTGCCTCGTGGAGACGATGATGTGCTCTCAGTTGCTCTTCAGAAAAAACCAAATGGCAGTAGAGTACAGGGGTTGGGGCACTTCATTACCCCAACACGATACTTTTACACGCCAAAGGCAACCAAAACCGAGAAGGACAAAGCACAAGACGTATGTGATAGAAGGTATGAAATGATGTTGCAGAAGTTTAGTGAAATGAAAGATCATGTGTCCAATGCTTTTAGTGAAATTGGTAGTTGCAGCAATGCCAATAAATCTCAGAAAAGAAAGGTACACACATAACTTCTGCTGGATAATTTTGCACCTTATTTACGCTTTTATGTTTAATACGTATTTGTCATTTTAAGACTGGTGATGACGTTGAGCAGTCGATACTTAGTCCTTTGAAGGAACGCTGCAGTGCTCCTAGAAAATCTCCCAGGTTGAAGTTGAAACATGCTGAAATGGAGGGTAATAATGAACAACCCGAGGGTGAGAGTCATGGAATGCAGAAGGTATGTACAACTACATCTCTAAGTGAATGTTTAATGAGATATAGTTATTAATAAATAGTTAACTTCTATGATATAGACTGTTGGAGAGGTGGAGAAACCAGTATTTACTCATCGGAAGAAGCTATTTGGAAGCGTTCCCAGAAATTCCCCTCAGCACATAAACACGGATACTTTAGGACAAGCCAATGCTCACTCCCATGATATGGTTAGACGTCTAGTTGCATATGTTTATTTGATTAAATACGATAGTAATGTTTGTAAATTACATGCACACTTTATGCTACATACAGGATATGAATGAAGAGGAAGATCAGTCAATAGCAAATATGGAGAATGACCGAGTGGAGGGAAAACAAAAACAGGGGTGCGAGGTGGTATTTGTGAAAGAGATAAGGACTGGAATGAAAGCTAAGTCCCAGCTAAATGTGCAAAGAATGACCAGGTCCGTTGCTGAAAAAAGAAAGGAACAAAGCGCTAACATGATGATGTTTTGCATTTTAGTGGATAATTGTTTAGGAGAGATGAACAGCATCAAGCAAGATGCTGAAATTTTTGGATTCCAAACAAAAACTATGTTTAACAAGGAGGTTTGCCGCTCTGTTATCAACTTTCAGCAGGTTTCAAATTCAGTTGTTGAAATTTGGGCGAGGTAATAAGTTCCCATTTATTATATATTACATTCAATTGCATTAAAATCATTATTGTATTACAGTATAAAGTGGTAAGAGTATCTTATTATAAACATCAAAATGAATGAACTTAATTCAACTTGATTAGTAATAATTTAATAGGTACTTGCATGAGAAAATGGAGGCTGATGGAGGGGACATGCCAGTCCAGTTTGGTACTTCTGCTGCCATAGCAATACCAAAGAGGGCATCACACCAAGCGGTTACTAGGAGGTCACAATACATAGCTGATCTTTTGGATATTTCCTTGCTTGGACAAATGACTTTAATCCCCTATAATACCGGGTAAGTAATCTCTTTTGCAAGTGACTTGTATTTGCAAACAATGGTGCTTTTGTAATTACATATAGTTTCATTGTTATGTAGAAATCATTGGGTGTTGGTCGCCATCGACATGGCGGCTGAAACGATTTACTACCTAGATTCCTTGGGAGGAATTCCATCGAAGGATTTGGAGGAAATCATGAATCAGTTAAGTTACATAGGCCCTTTAAATGATGAGAAAATATTGGATCGGTTGAATTTTAATAATGACTGTGTTTCCTTTTCAGAGGGGTGACGATTAATCATGCCCAAAAATCCAAGAAAAGGTTGAATTTAAAATGGGTGAGAGTGATGGTATGTATCCCTTGATGTTTATTATCACTTTTAGTATAAATTAGCGGCTGTGATTTGTACATGAGATCCTTTTGACTAAAGATCAGAAATCTGAACTGGTGTTTTGTAGTACGGAAAGGCAGTTCACTAAAATTAATGGATCTTTGTTATGAACCATGGTTGTTCAGTTATTTTCTGAATTTAGATACTCATCTCTTGTAAGTTGCAACCGTGAAACTTCGCTGAATCTCAACTGTGCAGTCTGTGCTACCAATTAGATGTGATACCTGTTAATTTTATTTAATCTGAATGTGTTTAGGAGCTGTTTTTAATTCTATATTGTTCATATGAATAGCATTTTACCATACATGTGAGATCCCTTCGACCTTACATGTAAGGTCCATAATTGGAACTGCATTTTTGAAATATGGAAAGACAGATCATCCCTTTTGCAAGTTCTATTCTTATTTTAGATACTCCATCCTTAGGAACAATATTTATCATTTGCAAGTTTTTAAATTAGCGGCTGTGATTTGTATGCTACAAGTTTTAATCAGTATGAACTGTCCCGGCCAGAAAATATTTGTTTATAATTCTATTATTATTAGTGTGTTAGTTAATTAAATCAATGTAAATGATAGAGGGTAGATGCACAGGATATGAAGAAGGTAGTTTCTGAATTAATGATAGAGGGTAGATGCACAGGATATGAAGAAGGTAGTTTCTGAAATAATATTATAGTGAAAAATCTGGATCAAATGGTGATGTTATCTATCTGTTTCACATGTCATGCGCAAATAGGGTAATAGCCATTCCATATACCTACTTGCAAGTCTCAAGTTGCATAAAAATCATGGCTCAACCTCCCAAGGGAATCTGGTCCAAAAGATAAAAAAGAATAAAATACCTTTGGAAAGATCAATCCATGAAGCATACTCCTATTGAATTATTGCAATTTGTTTTAAAGAAGTGAGTTAAAGAAGTGGATTATTGCAATCCATTCAATACTTGACTGTATTATTTTTTTACTATAACTTGTTCTTTGTTTTTAGTAAATCTTAGTTTGTATTTAATGTCTATTTAAATTGAATATATGCAGTGCCCAAAGAAGTGAATTATTGCAATACATTCAATACTTGACTGTATTATTTTTTTTATTATAACTTGTTCTTTGTTTTTAGTAAATCTTAGTTTGTATTTACTGTCTATTTAAATTGAATATATGCAGTGCCCTAAGCAAACAGGAGGAGTTGAGTGTGGTTACTTTGTGATGAAGTACATGAAGGATATTGTATCTGACGTGAATCGTTTGAAACAGAATGTGAGCGCAATTAATTAATTAGTGTATCTTGTAATGATAGTAAGTGCTTATTAATTTAATTTTACATTGAAGTTCTCTACCGTCAAGGAGTATACCGAAGATGATATTTTACAAGTGCGTGAGGAGTGAGCTTTGTATGCTGCTACTTTGATAAAAAAGTAAGTTCACATTTAAAATTTACCGAAAATAAGTTTCATAATATATGGATGTAATATTATAGTTTGTTTGATATGTAGTGCGCAAGCGGATCCTACAAAGGCTTGATGATATGCACGGGGAGATGCATTTCTGATTATTGTTGATGGCGGTTAGAATGGTCGGTGTTATGTTATGTTTGTAGAATGTAGAGGCAGGTCAAACTTTTGATAACTAAACATTGGTACCTGTTGGGAATGTGACTTGTTTGTATTTTAGCATCTTCAATGATGCTTGGTAGTAGTTTTTTTGCTGAATTTCAATAGCCGGTTTTTTGCGGGAATATTGCATGCTGGAATTTTTCTATATCTTTTATCCGGCGGTAGGAAATGTAATTGAACAAAAATGTGAAATTGTTACTGAATATTATATGTTAAATGATGTGTTTTGGGTATCCATTAATTTTTGGATGTTATAATATTTATGAATGAAGTAAGCAATAAATTTGAATTCTACTAAAGCTACCATGGGCATATTATCTAGGCCTATATAGGCCCAATTAACAAAACCAACCAAGTGACATTGAAGTGTCATAAAAATCTATGATGCTGAAAGTATCATAAAAATGTATGATACTGAAAGTGTCATAAAAATCTATGATGCTGAAAGTGTCATAAAAATCTATGATGTATTAATGTCACAATGTATTCTTGATGCATAAATGTCGCTATTTTAGCCGATAAATTAGTGTCACTATTTGCTGACACAAAACCGTCCCCGCATCAGTGACACTAAATATAGTGTCGCTAGCCGCCACTTTCCCCGACGCTTTTTTAGTGTCGCTGAAAGTTTCTGCGACACTAAATTAGTGTCACTATAGGCGCTTTTTCTACTAGTGAATCCTTCTGGTGATCAAATTCAGAATGCGAAAATACCTTTTGGGGATCGAATACTTGGGATATTTCTCAACATTTGCTGAGGTTGTTCTAATTTCAGAAGAAGAATTAATCGATCTAGTGAGGATATGAATAAAGGGGACAAACCACACTAAAAGATTGAATTCGAGAATCATAGATTTTGACATCACTTTTAATATTCCATTGGGTTTTTGACATCATATATTTCTTCTGTACAAAATCATACATGGACATATGTCACATAACATACAATATTTGCTGCATAAGGTTCATAATGGCTAAGTGCATCGATATGAACTAATGGCATATCATATTTGCAACATAAGGATCATAAGTGGTCAAATTAATATTCTAAAAGACCATATTCATACAAAAGAGTTGGCATTGATCTCAATACAAATTTAGCATTTGAGGTTCATAATAATAAGCCAAACATAAGCAAAAGAACATCATCAACAGATTTCATAAACTCACACGATTCGATACTATAAAATTGTACGGAGTATATGACAATGTGTCAATTTGGAAATGTGAATTTGTAAGCTTGTATTTGTAATTATTAATTAACTAAATTCGAGTTCCAAAAAACCTATAAAAAATAGTGACCTGGTGTTTCCTTAATACTATGAAAAAA